GGAAAGCTAAAACTCTAATAAAATGTTCCCCGCTCATGTGCAACCTTGCAAGCTTAAATTCAGCCCCCAATTTCCCCTGCTTACCACTTACCACCCCGTGAAAATTTTGGCAAGGGAAACTACTATCTTGGGAATCACGAAAGCTAGGAGGATGAAATTTCAAGAGAATGTCCCTTGCTCACATATGACACCGTAAGTTTAAATTCAGCTTTCTCGTTTGTCTGGGTGCCACCTATGCCTTGTGGAACTTTTGGCGAGCAAAATTATTGTCTTGAGAGAGCTGGAGGGGTAAAAACTTCAGTAGAATGTTTTCTGCTTACACAGGAACCTAATAAACTCACACTTAGCTCCCAGGTCTCACGTACGACTACGTAAAAGCTTTGACGCGAAAGTTAATCGGAAGCCAGAGAGCTGGGTGGCTGAAATTTTTGAAGCAATGTTCACCGTCCAAAATTTCAAATTCGGGTCTCATGTACGTTCGCTTTCAATAAATACATGAAATTTTTGGTGGGGAATTTCGCAACTTAGAAGCCAAACAGGATACCGACTATTTCTTCACAGACCAAACTGTAAAACAGTGAAAATCCTTAGGAGGTAAACGTCCGCTGGTCGAAACTGCACCTAAAACATGATCGCACCAGCTACCCTGGTACGAGTTGCTGTTTATTTTCCATCAAAACAAAAATTTATCATATTTCCAAAAAGCAAAGAGCAAGTGTACTCTTGCTGCGTTTTTGGTTATGACGGAAAGTAGTAGTGGGATGGGTTTTGCTTAAGATGCCTCTTTCGTGACTTTATAAAATTTATCGTGCTTTACTTAAAAGAGATTCAGATGCTCTCTTCAGCATCCCAACTGCTTTCAGAGGCTGCAGTGTGCGGTAGTATTTTTAGTATTTGCTCACTGAAAAATGTATTTTTTTCCATTTAAGTGCTTAGTTGAGGCTGGTTGGCACCTACATAATTTCAAAACTCTCCATTCTCTTATTAACTTTTTAGAGAGGCGAAGTCACGCGGGAAGTAGCCCAATTGGTACCGAATGCTGATGTCAACATTCCGCAGGAGGAGCTGCCGATAGTATCCCCCCTTGCGAGGTGCGTAGAAGCAAAGTGAAGACAGTTTTACCTTGCTGGAACGCTCCAGTACCAATTTGCCATCAAAAATGTACGAACGAAAAAGTAAAAGGGTTGCTTCACTGCCTGTCCTGAACCTTCGATCCTCT